CTGACCCAGGAATCGCTTAAGATCTGAAAACGTGGCCCTCCCTGGTGGTGCAGCGGGTTAAAGCACAGCACTAAGAAGCTAAAGCCACTTCAGCATGAGTTTGATCCCCGCCCTGGCGCTGCAGACCTCTCCTGACCCGCCCGCTGCTCCCCTCAGCAGTGTACTTCGTCGATTTGCCTGTTCTGCTCCCCACTCTGTCTCTGGTGAAGCCTCTCACTGCCCCTGCACCTCTGGCCTGTGCCACAATTCTGATTGATACATAAATCAATCTTTTTTAAAAAAGATCTGAAAACGGTGAACTCCCGAACACCGAATCCTGAACACTCAAGCTCAAACGCTCAATACTGACCACCAAACCGTTGAACACTGAATCCTAGGGAATACTTCTGCAGTCCCTTATATTTCTCCTACAAATCTCCAAGTCAAACGTGATCCTGCGTTGGCATTTTCCCTGGGGCTATCTACTCTCACCAGCACCTACCTCCAGGGGGCGATGTAACAGTCTTTGGCTTCAGCCGAGGTTACAGAAATACAGATACCTTACAGACACAGAACTGCAGATTTCTTCCCAGCCCCCCATTTTCCCGACATATACACATCTGCGCACTGTATCAATCAGGAACCCAACAGGAAATAGCACCCTCGAATTAGGATAACTTGAGAGGCCATTTATTTATAAAAGTGAGTGGGATGCAGGGGAACTGCGAAGTATGTGGCCTACTCATTTTGAGCCATGAATCTCTTTAGCATTCTTTAAAGCATAAAATTTTACATATATATATATATAAAACAAAATTATGTTGAATGCCAGTGAGCAAAATATAAATAAATGTTGCAGTAGAATAAAGCATGTACTTCTTTATTATATTTATTGTTTATTAAGTAAAAGTTGGGACATTCAAAATGCAGGAGACCTAAGCTGCATTCTAATAAATAAAAGCATAGTGCAAACAATTCTGTAGCTTGACTTGAATAATTTTAAACCATGTGTTGGGGATGACCAGGTGCTGCAATAACACAACTACCGGTGGGACTAGATAAGGGCGGTAATAAACTGGGCCTCACATCTAAGGGTGATATTTATTTAACTGGGCATCCGGAAGATACCGGTGGGACGAACAGGGCCTGGCATCAGGAGGCATAGCGATGAGTCACCCCTTTGGAATCTGAACCTAGAATCTCTATAAGAGACCCTTTTCCCCTATAGCGCTGGCAGTAGCTGCGGACCCCACCCTAGGGGATCCCTCTCAGCTGCTGCCCCGGAGCAATAAACTCTGCTTGCTCAGCCTTTCTGCCTCCCATCTTTCTGCCTTGCAGCTCCGGTCGCAGAAATAGGGACAAAACACCATGAAGCAGTCTTTGACAAGGCAACACAGATGCTGGGTGTGACAAAAGGAGACACATTTGCTCTCGTCCAGGTTCATAGGCCAACTGAATTCTATCCCCTGGAAGGCTATCAAGCAGGTGGCCCAGCAAGGAGCATTGCCTGCCGTGGATAGAGGCTTGGCCAGCTGAGGTAACTGTGGGAAGGCAGCCAGAGGAATGAATACCCTCCACTGAGTTCTCTCCTGCTCTTTTCCTGCCAGGTCTCCACCAGCCAAAACCAGCCAGAAGCCAGAGGTGCCCTTGATGCGGTCTTCATAGGCAGCCTCCTGGGGCAGAGGGCAGAGTGGGATAGGAAAACACAGGGGCAGAAAGAAGATCCCCAGACACACAGAGGAGCATTCTGGCCAGTGTCTTATCTTCCCACAGGAACACTCCAAGGGGCTTATCTAATGGGCAGTTCCCTTGGGAGCATGAAACCATAACAAGGGCCCTTAGCAACGGTGCCCATTCCATAAGGGACTCCAAGCTCATGGGGTTTGAGCAGGCCATTTCTTGAGCCAGCTGAGCGTTCTCTCCCTGACTGCTTGGCTCTTCCTGGCTATGGCCTCGGGCACTCCTCTGGCACTCCTTTTTTCTGCCTTCCAGCTTGAGCCACCTCACTAAGCTGCTTAAACTGTTGAGACCTTCACCAAAGGTCCAGTGAGTCCTGCAGCCCCAGGAGAACCACTCTTATTTCTTTCAGGCAGAGCTCTCGAACTTCAGCGCATATCAGCAGCATCTGAGACACTTGTTTAAAAGTGATTGTTGGGCCTCACCCTCAGGGTTTCTAACAGCAAGTCTAGGCTGGGCCCAGCCTTGTGCATTTCCAAACTGTTTCCTTGTGCTAACTTTGAGGAGCTTCTGCATATCTTTACTCAGATCTAGATTTTGCAGCTTTACCATCAATTAGCTATTTCCTTATTGCCAAGTTCTCAGTGGACTCCTTGCTGGGGCCCAGAGTGTCCCCTAGAACCTCTCTGCCCAGAGTTCCCACCTCCTTTTGGCCAACTTCGGTGGAGGAGTCCTTTCAGTGGCCGAGGGGGCTGGGCCTAGATGTTGGGTATGACAAGTCTTTTGCAAGTCTGTTCCCATAGGTTTTCCCCACCTCTCTGCTTAGAGAGTTTCTTTCTCCACCCACTTTCCCTTCTGCTCATTCATCATTCTTGTCACTCTGGTCCTATGGTCAGAGCTGCTGGCACTTTATCTCAGGAAGTTTCTCTGAGTAAGTGCTATCTCACCATGATCCACCTCCTCCCGTCTCACTTCCCCTCACATATTCAGTTCTAGCTCAGGTCTTGCTGCCACTTCACATTCTATGTTCTCACACCTTTGCACTGTTGTACCCCATGCCTGAAAAGCTCTGCTCCCATATAACCACATGGCTTGGCCCCTCACCTCCTTGAAATCTTTGCTCAACTATCACATCTTCAAAGAAGCCTCCCAGATCACGCTATTTGAAACTGCAGTCTACCCTCAGTGCTTGCTAAACCCCTTCCCTATTTTGCTTTTCTCTATAGGCACCCCCCTACCTCTAATATACTTATTTCTTTTTTTTAAAGATTTATTTATTTATGCATACAGAACTGGGGTACAGGCCAGAGGTGTAGGGGTGGTGAGAGGCTTCACCAGAGACAATCTACAGAACAGGCAGATTGACGAAGTACACTGCTGAGGGGAGCAGCCATGCGTGCCAGGAGAGGTCTGCCGCGCCATGTGGTCACCTCCGGAGCAGGCAGGGATCAAACTCATGTTGAGGTGGCTTTAGCTTCTCAGTACTGTGCTTTAACCTGCTGTGCCACCAGGGAGGGCCCAATATACTTATTTCTTTTTGCTTTCTGTCTGTTTTCCCAATGAAGCTGCCCCACAAGAAGAGTTTGCATTTCTTTGGTTTCCTGAGGCTAGAAATATGCCAGGCATATGGCAAGTTCTCAATAAATATCTGCTGAATGAATGTCTGAATAAAGGAATGAATTCTCCCTGTAGGCCCTGAACACATTGGGAGTACAGGGCTGCATCTGTCCTGTAGAAGAGGGCAGCAATAATGGGAAGTCAAGAAGTCAGGGTACCACCAGTATCTCTTACCACCTGACTGAGTTGGGGAGAGGTCAGTGAGAAGTGAAAACTCAGCTGCAGAAGTGGAAATTGGTGGTGAGGAAGAGAAGAAAGGTGTTTGCATCTTTCCTGGGGCCAGGGTAAATGGAGGTCTGGGCAGGGAGTTTGGACAAGGATGTGTCAGTGAGGGGCTGGACAACTAGCCAAACAGAGCAGCAAAGGGGATAAAGATTACACTGGGGGGCCAAGGAGGGGCGCTAGCAGAGGCTCCTCGTCCACCTACTCCACTATGTGTGTGTGTGCGCGCACACACACACACTCTCTCTTATCCTACAGGCCTCACTCCCTGCTCTTGTGTCTACAAAGCCTGTCTCTTTCAGGTGCCACTTCCAGCTCCTTCAAAGAATCTACTAAACTCCTCCAGTTCCTGAGCTCTGTAGATTTTACTAAAGATTTCAAAGGCGATAAGGTGGGAGTTACATGGCCTAGGCAAAGCAAACAAATTCATTAGGTCCTTAGACATTTCTGTATTTTCAAGTACCTCTCTGGAGCCACTGTAGGGTTGGGGTGTCTCTCCTTTGCAGATGTGCGCCCATCCTGCCACCTCTCAGAGATGCCAGCAGACTTCAGATTCTTCTCCCATCCTCAGCACAGAAAAACTCACTCAGCCTTTCCTCAGCTCTTTGCCCAAACCTGCAGGCTCATGAGCCATAATGCACCTTTGAAACGTTTGAAGATCATTTGTCCCCAAGAAGAAATGCCCCTGGAATCTTCCTGCTTTCCCTCCACACCTCCAGAGACTTCTCAAAACACTTTTTTTAAATCTATCTATCTATCTATCTAAAGATTTCTTTATTTATTTATGCACACAAAACTGGGGCACAGGCCAGAGGTGCAGGGGCGGTGAGAGAATTCACCAGAGACAGGGTAGGGAGTAGAATAGGCAGATCAACAAAGTACACTGCTAAGGGGAGCAGCGGGCGGGTCAGGAGAGGTCTGCTGGGCCATGTGGTCACCACCGGAGCAGGGATAGAACTCGCACTCAAGTGGCTGCTGCCAGCTTGCAGTGCTGTGTCCTAACCTGTTGCACCACCAGGAAGGGCCCTTTTTTTTAAAGATTTATTTATTTATGCATTTATAACTATGGTACAAGCAAGAGATGCAGGCCGTGAGAGGATTCACCAGAGACAGAGTGGGGAGCAAAACAGGCAGATCGATGAAGTACACTGCTGAAGGGAGCAGCAGGCGGGTCAGGAGAGATCTGCCACGCCATATGGGTCAGCTCCGGGCTGGGATCGAACTCACACTGAAGCAACTGCAGCTAGCTTGCAGTGCTGTGTCCTAAGCCATTGCGACATCAGGGAGGGCCTGATGTCCAACATTTATTTTATGCATACATTGGGTTCTCCTTAAAAGGAATTTGGGAGAAGGTTATTTTCTCATCTGCATTCTCTGCTGGGCTCCCCTTTCTTCCTGGGGTGCTAGTGTCAGCAGAAGTTGATGGGGAAGTGGAAACTGAGAGGAGGGGGGATGAGGAGAAAAGGAAGTTTGTGAGACAGACCTCTGAAGAGGCTGGTGGGAGAGTGAGTCGTCAGACCTCAGAGACCTCCAGCTTGGCCAGTCTCCACCAGCGTCTGCTGAGCTATGAGCCATACCATTGATGTACAGGGTAGGGAAGGTGGAATGGGTGGAAGTTTAAAGTGGGAGCAAGAAGATGGACAGCTGGAAGCAAGGAGGGCTGTTAGCTGATCTGGAAGGGCAGAACTGTGGGTGGCCCTGGGCTGGGTATGAGGGGAGGAGAGGAAGGGGGGTGGGGTGATGAGGCTATCTTAACCTTTGTGCTTCTCAGGTGGAAAAGCTTTTGGGCTGCTGAAGGCCCAGCAGGAGGAGAGACTAAATGAAATCAACAAGGTAAAGGAAGAACTAAGGGGACAGGCCTAGGGAAAGGGGACCCAGGACCCCAGAGCCTATCCTGACTCTTACTTTTCCCCCATAGCAATTTCTGGATGATCCCAAATACAGCAGTGATGAGGATCTGCCTTCCAAACTGGAAGCCTTCAAGAGTGAGGGAAAACTGGGATTGAGGCCAGAGGTCGGGTGGGGTGGGGAGTACTGGGGGCTGTGGAGGGTTGGGCTTTCCTAAAAGCAGAGGAGACCACCGAGACAAAGTCTACTGCTCTGAGAAGGGAGGCTGCCTTTCCTTGCCCCCACCCCCCAGGTTGGAGTCCCCTTCTCTGGCCTGCCCCTCTCAGTTTCTCCTCTGGTTCCCCATCTCTTAGCAGGGTGCCTTAACTTCCCAACCCTCTGCTTACCCCCTGTCCTCCTTCCACACCACCCACCCACTGCCCACTTATCACTGGTCTGCAGCCTTTTCCTTCCCTACGAGCCTCAGCCAGGTACCCACTTTTTCTTTCAGAGAAATACATGGAATTTGACCTCGATGGAAATGGAGATATCGGTGAGAAAAGGGTCATTTGGGGAAACCTGCAGAACTAGCAAGAGGGTGCTCTCTCCTACAGTGCTCTGTCCCCCCTGTCTTGGGAACGGACCTAAAGGGCCCACCTAGAAGCAAGGAGGAGGATGGGAATGCAGAGATGGGTAAAGAGAATTGGGGAGAGGTGGGGGGGTGCCCTTCTCACTTCCATTTACTGCCTCCAGATATCATGTCTCTGAAGCAAATGCTGGAGAAACTTGGGGTGCCCAAGACCCACCTGGAGCTAAAGAAATTAATCAGAGAGGTATCCAGTGGCTCTGGAGATACTTTCAGCTACTTTGACTTTCTCAGGATGATGTTGGGCAAGAGATCAGCCATCCTAAAAATGTGAGGGTCCAGTTTCCTGCCCACCACCACGCCCATCCCTGGGCTCACTTCTCACATTACTCACATTACTGTCCACCAGCCTTCCAGCTTCTGGTCCCACAACCCTGCCCCTGTCTATTCTTCCTTCCATCCTCTCACACCCCTTTCTCTCCTGGACATTAGTCCAAGATTTATTCTCTTGAGAGAACTAGTCCCCCTGATCCCTGTGTCTCTTGCCATCTCAACCAGGATCTTGATGTATGAAGAGAAATCAAGAGAACAGGAGAAGCCAACAGGTCTGCCAGCCAAGAAAGCTATCTCTGAGTTACCCTGATTGGTCAGGAGGAGATGTAGTAGGAGTGAAGGGGCTTCTAATGATCCCAGCATGGAAAAAGAAGAAAATATTGTGAACCAGAGACAAACTAAATTAAATAAATGATCCTTCTTGAGAAAGTCAGCTTGGTTTCTGTTTTTGGCAATTTTCTCCCAGGGCTTGGAAAAAAGTAAGGCATTTTTGGGGGAAGGGCAGTGAAGACTTGCCAGTATGCTCAATCCATCAATCCATCAACAACTTGATAGCGTGTCCTTTAGAGCAAATGTATTGCACAAAGGCGGGGGTGGGGTGGGGTGGCGGTTCCAGACATATAAGAGCCTTAACCTCAAGGACTGGAGTGGGGCAAAGTTTGAGCCCCAGACAAGGAGCTGACCCACATGGCGCAGCAGACCTCTCCTGTCTCACCCGCTGCTTCCCTCAGCAGTGTATTTCAGTAGATCTGCCTGTTCTGCTCCCCAGTCTGTCTCTAGTGAATCCTACCTACCTACCTGTATCTCTGGTCTGTTCACCTGTAAGTAAATAAATCTTTTTTAAAAAAATTACTTGAGAGCCCTCCCTGGTGGCGCAGCGGGTTAAAGCACTGCACTAAGAAGCATGAGTACTTCGGCATCAGTTCGATCCCCGCCTGCCACGGAGGAGATCCACGTGGCGCGGCAGACCTCTCCTGACCCGCCCGCTGCTCCCCTCAGCAGTGTACTTTGTCGATCTGCTGTTCTGCTCCCCACTCTGTCTCTGGTGAATCCTCTCACCCTCCGCATCTCTGGCCTGTACCCCAGTTCTGTATGAATAAATAAATAATCTTTAAAAAAAATTGCTTGAGAATGGTCTTAGTTTCCAGATGACAGAAAGGGTTAAGTAGCCAAGCCAGGGAAGGCAGGAGACTAAGAGCTCCCAGACCTTCACTGAGGCTATTCCTGGACTTTTCCACTGTGTGGCTCAGATGAGTGAACTTCAATTGTTCCCAGTTACTGCTCACTATTTCAGATTTCTGCCTACCTGGAAACAGATAATCCGACTGAAACAGATAATCCCAGCTTGAAACATGCACTAAGGACAGACAAGGCCATGCTGGCCCTTCCCTAGGGTGATCCCAGGGAGGTACCCAAGTTAGCATCCTGTAGAGCACGACAGTAGCTGGCTAGGACTTCAGAAAAGGTCACCGAGAGTTGGATAAAATATCTGAATATAACAAAATTAATAACTAGCCTTTATTGAGTACCCACTATATACTAAAGGCCATTCTAAATGCTTTCTGTGTGTTCATTCAATTTCCACAACAACCCTGGTGATACCAAGGAGGAAAGGATCCGGGGTTTAAATAATTGATTCATTCAGGATAAGTAAATTGGGTTACAGTTACACAATGAACTATTATATACTATTAAATATAAACAGCAATGAGAATGAACAAACTGCAATTATGTGCAACAATGTGGTGATTTCATTAACAGAATGTTGAACAAAAGAAAGACACAAATGAACCCTTACTGTATGCTTCTATTTGTATAAGGTACAGAAATGAGTAAGTCGAATATATGTTGTTAGATGGAAGTCAGGGTAAGTTAGTCTTGAGAGAGGAGAGTGACTACAAGAAGCTCTAAGGGCCACTTACAGGGTGTCATTTTTAGACATATGTTCTCTTCAGTTTGTGAAATTCATCAAAATGTACATATTTATATGTATAAATTTAAGATATTTTGTTATATATGTTTACATGTTTTATATACCTTGACAAAGTTAATTTTTGTAACTTAAAAATACAATTCTGATTTCATTTTTATGTTTGATTGCTGTAGTCAAAGCAAAACTTACAAACACCCAGTCCAAGATTTTCTCCATCTAATCACAACTCATTGTCACTGTCAGATTAATTCAACTACCTGCTAATGAGCATATTTCATATGAATAAAGTAACTAGAAATGTGTGAAGAGTTCTTGTGAAAGAAACTGTCATGTTAAAGCTGCAAGTCTTTTACCATTTTTTTAAAGATTTATTTACGCATATATACAAGAACTGGGGTACAGGCCTGAGGTGTGGGGTGGGGGGAGAGGGAAGCGGATTCACCAGGAGAGGTCTGCCAAACCATGTAGGCAGCTCCCTGGCTGGGGATCGAACTCCAGCTGCACAGACTGAGAATAGCTACATCGTGCTGTAGTTTAACCCCCTGCCCCACCAGGGAGGGCCCAAGCTTCAAGATTTAAAAAAAAAAACTCTTAGTATGGCCCTCCCTGGTGGCGCAATGGATTAAAGCACAGCAATGTGAATCACTGGGAAGCTTTCCACAAGTGTTGGATCTATGGCCTGGGAGCTGACCCACATGGCACGGCAGACCTCTCCTGTCTCAACAGCTGCTCCCCTCAGCAGTGTACTTTGTGGATCTGCCTCTGGTGAATCCTCTCACTGCCCTGCTCCCCCCACCCCCCAACCCCCGCCACTGCTGGCCTGTACCCCAGTTCTGAATGCATAAATAAATAAATCTTTAAACATAAATAAATCTAAATTTTTTTTAAAAGCAGATTAAAAAAATAAAAAATAGGGCCCTCCCTGGTGGCACAGCGGGTTAAAGCACAGCACAAAGAAGCTTAAGCCACTTCCGCATGAGTTCGATTCCCCACCTGCCCCGGAGGAGATCCACATGGCGAGGCAGACCTCTCCTGACCCTCCAGCTGCTCCCCTCAGCAGTATACTTTGTCGATGTGCCTGTTCTGTACCCCACTCTGTCTCTGGTGAATCCTCTCACCCTCCGCATCTCTGGCCTGTACCCCAGTTCTGTACAAATAAATAAATCTTTAAAAATAAAATAAAAAATAAATAAATAAAATAAAATAAAAACTCTTAGTAAATAAAAAGTACAATTGAGCAAACAATTTTTCCTATGATAAATGAGATTTACATGAAATTTTTCTGGTTATAAAAACTAACACATGGGACCCTCCCTGGTGGTACAATGAATTAAAGCGCAGCACTATGAAGCCAGTAGCCACTGCAGCCAGGGAGGTGACCCACATGGTATGGCAGACTTCTCCTGTCTCTCCCACTGCTCCCTTCAGCAGCATAATTCATCAAATCTGCCTGTACTGCTCCCACTCTGTCTCTGATGAATCCTTTCACCGCCCCTGCACCTCTGGCCTGTACCCCAGTTCTGTATGCATAAATAAATAAATCTTTTTAAAAAAATACAAAGAAATAATACTGCCCATTCAATAAGTTGAAAGACGTATTTATAGCCCTCTAATATAATCAAACTAAGAAATTGTTTGCCTCTCTTTAATTTATATGTAATCACTTGGCAATTCTTCATATTATCTATTATACTAAATTTTAAAAAAATTACACTTAATTTAAAAAAATTCAATTTTGGTAATTCAGGTATAAAATTGAATTTTATATCTGGTGGCACAATGGATTAGCATGCAGCACTGCAAGCTAGCCGCAGCCCCTTCAGTGGGAGTTCAATCCCCGGCCCCATATGGTACGGCAGACCTCTCCTGACCCGCCCGCTGCTCCCCTCAGCAGTGTACTTTTTGGATCTGCCCGTTCTGCTCCCCACTCTGTCTCTGGTGAATCCTCTCACCTCCCACCTCTAGCCTATACCCCATCTCTTGTATGCATAAATAAATAAATCTTTTAAAAAATATATCCATAGTGCATTTCAGAAGGAAGTGACAGCCAGAAAACTTCCAGTGCCAGGTTCCATCATCACACTCGATGCTAGGTGGGTAATTCGTCCTGCGTGGCTGAGGCACCTTTCTTATGCACTGGCTCAGCTCTGTGGCAGCTCCACATTATTCCTTGCTATGTCTTGGTATAAAATTGTGTTCTCCCCTTTCCTTATGTTCCAGCCAGAACATTATGCTCAGCCAGAACCCAGTCTTGTCCATCTCCCAGAGCGACAAACCAGATAACCACCTGGTTTGGGGAGTGAGGAGCAACATGATGCTACTCATCATAGTCCCCTTGTTGTGTCTAGACGGCCAGCATCTCAGACTGGTGCCCGAATTTGCCCATCAAGGCAGAGATTCTCTCCAGACTGGTGGTCTTCAATCTCACAGCCATCTACTTGGCCACATTAGCCATCAACGTGATTACCCTGACCATGTCACCAACATCTGAACTCATGGCTACCAAGCCAACCCTTATACCCAATGTCAAGAAGTTTACCATCTGGTGCTTCTGGCAGGTGACATTTTTGTTGTGTGTCCTGGCAACTTTCATGTTGCCCTTCTGAATGGCCTTTTGAAGTTTGGTCTTTTCCCTCCTTGCATTTTTTGGCATGTCTGCTCAGTTGTTAGACTGTGAACTTCAGGTTGAACAGCTGTTTCTCCATGCTGGACAGTTTGACAGCTCCTCGGAGTTGACTACAAGAGTGCAAGCAAATGATTTTTTAAATCATTAATTGGGCATCAGTGACGTGCCATTCCCAATTCTATATGCTTGGGTTATCAGAGTGAAAAAAAAATCCCTGTCTTTGTGAAGTTCACACTGCATTGTGGGAATTGGTGTGGGAGGCCAGATAATAGACAGTAAACATAACTGAGAATGCATATGATCTCTTAGAAGATGACATATATTATGAGAGCAAAAAAAGTAGAGTAGGGTAAAGGGGATTAGTGATGCTACGATGTGCCAGGATGGGGGAGGGGATGGGAGTGAAGGAAGATTAAAAGTTTGAATGGGTAATCAGGTTAGAGCTATTGAGATCATTAACACTGGGCAAAAATTTCAAGGAAGAAAGGAATGTGTCATTGTGAGTTTCTGGGGGAAGATTCAACTGGGCAGAGGGAAAAGGACAAAGACCCCAAGATGAACATGCCTGGTAGACAGGCAAAGCAATACAATCAGAGACAGTGGGAGCCTAGTCTTACAGGCTACCATAAAGATGTTAACTTTTACTTTGAGAGAAATGAAGAGGCATTATAGGTCTTTGAGCAGAGGAATCCTTGAGGTCTCCTTTGAGAATAAGTCCACTCTGGCTGCTGCATAGAGAATAGACTGCAGGAACAGGAGTAAACTCAGGAAGACATTCTAGGAGGCTGTTGCTATAACATAGGTGAGAGATGAAGGTGACTCCAATGAAGGTGGAAGCAATGAAGTGA